CAGTTCCTGGGGACACCACTCATGACTCTCAGCCATGGAAAGGTAGCCTACTTTCTCACTTGAACAGGGTCCCCAAATTGCACTAGAAGGTGCCTTCATCTCTGACACAAATATATGAAATCTTACCCTGCCTTCATGACCTAACACCTTAAACCTACAGAGTAATGTGCATTTGCAACTCTTGTCAACACAGAAGTAGGCATCTGTCATCTTTGACAGGCACTGCAAAGACTGGAACCACAGCAATAGTGGGCCCTGATACAATAATCAGCAGGATTCATGAAAAAGAATGCTGAATCCACAATCAGGAGGCTACAATTCCAATTCCAGAGTTACCACAAACCAATCACAAATTATCCTATTGGCGTCCTCATTTGCAAAGCATAGGAAAAAGATGACCCAGCTATTGCTTTTTAATATCATCTTAATATTTCATAGTGTCAGAAAACAAATGGATCTATTGAAGCTTCCTCCATCTGTCTGCGTAGAAAATAAGTCAGATCCAGGTTCTAATACCAGCTTAACTTCACTGTGCAGTAGCCATGAGATCCCACACAAAGCCCTCTCTAAGGGTCTAAGTTTCTTTCACACATAAAATACAGAGGTTGAATTAAATCTCTAAACATTGTAGAAACAGAAGGCCAAATGTGAAATGAGGTATTTTAAATAAACCAGGAAGAAGTTAAAAAACAGACAGGGTATAGATAATTGCTATTCTTTATAATAACTCTGTGAAGACTTGATATCTAAGTCCTTTAAGAGGCAAGTTCAAGCCAAAGACTGTGAAAGAAAATTATTTTCAACTCTACAACACATTCTCAGGTGGAGGGCTGGAAGGTTTCCTAATTACTTAGCTAAGATGTAAATTAATTTATATTCCACTTCTCATGAGGCTTCTCTAAATCCAGCCTGCCCATTTAATTGCGCCTCTAAGTGGAGTGCCAGTAAACAATGACTCTTGGGTGAGTGGAGTGGACTTGCAAGTTAAGAAATATTTCTTGCAGGACAAGACACAAATGATCTGCAAAAGAATCAACCTTGGCTGGGTGCAGTGGCTCATGCCTATAATCCCAGCATTTTGGGAGGCCAACGTGGGAGCATCACTTGAGGCCAGGAGTTTGAGACCAGCCTGGGCAACATAGCAAGATCCTGCCTCTAAAAAAAAAAAAAAACCTGCCGAGTATGGTGGCACATGCCTGCTGTCCCAGCTAC